TGTGGATTTCTGGGCATGCGCTGATCCCAAGGAGAAAGAGCCAAGGATCTCTGAGGCCAGTAGAGATGTTGGGGTGAAGAACCTTCTCCTTCTTTGTAAGGGATTTGGGGTGGTCTTGAGCAGTGTGTTCTTACAGGCACACATGCCATGCACCACTCTGAGTAGTTGTCTATATGGACTGTAGTTCTTAGTCCTAGTAGTCATGAGCTGTGGGGGTGCAGCGGTGAGCGTGCAGTCGTTTTTGCTGCACCCAGGGATGGTCTTTTCAATCGTGCAAGTCTGCGGTCAGGTGATCCTCTCTACAGTGCTCACTGGACCAGTGGTGCTCGAATTGGACCTTGGGTTACCAGGAAAGGCAGATATATCCAAGAACTTTCCGTATAACATCCTCCCACTTTCAAAGATCCAGCTGCCTTATGTGATTTCTGGGGCCCATCAGCCATGCATCTGCATGGAGGCTGGTTCATTCGAAGGGGAGAGGACTAGCGACAATATAGGACCCTGGGTCCTGGCCTCACAGTAGTGGGAATGAGACTAAGGTATACTCTAACTGCCACCCTCCCTGTGTGCTGACTCAGGACGCAGTGACCTTCCACGACGTGGCTGTGAACTTCACCCCGGAGGAATGGTCATGCCTGGCAGCCTCTCAGCAGAAGCTCTACAGGGACGTGATGCTGGAGACCTACCAGCATCTGCAGGCTGTAGGTGAGAGCAGTGTGGAGCCAACCCTGTCTGGACAGACCTGCTTGCGCTCCCTGGGTTTGGGCTGCAGCTGTGTGTCCAACAGTAGCTGTGACTGACGGGCTGGTATGTTGAACAGCCATGAGGTGTTTGTTCCCTCCCTGTTTTTTTTTTAGGGTTCACCTGTGGATACTCAGGGCTTACTCTCAGCTCTGTCCTTAGGAATCAGTCTTGTGGAGTAGCAGGACCCTGTGGGGTGATTCAGATCAACCCGTTTTGACTGTGTCCGTGGGAAGATCCCTATCTGCCCAGTTATCGCTCAGGTCCCTTTAAATAGTTCCATCCATTGGTGAATCAATTTGCTTTGTGTACTACACAAACTTCCGTGTGTTTAATTGGCTTTGTTGTTGCCTTTGTTTAGGGAGCACAGTCCACAGTTCTCCTGGCTCTGTGCTAAACGATGACTCCTAAGAGTGCTCAGAAACCGGGATACCATGGACTGAAACCTCTTGGCAATTTAAAACATTGGTGCATGACTCCCAATACTTTTGCACCAGGCACTCAAATCAGACGGTTTTTACTTCCTCTTTTTTCCTTAGGTATTAGGAAAAAAAAATCAGGATTATGGCCTGATTCTTTTCATTATTACAGTCACATAATAGTAATAATGATTATTATTATAGTAATTATTATAGTAATTATAATAATAGTAATAATAATTATTATTATGTAATAATAATAATAATAACGTAACGGCCAGAATCCAGAGATTATCACACCCTTTACGACATCTTAACATCTCATTCCTACTTTGGACAAACTGGCAGGCTACCGAATGTAACCTGCCCACATGGCAGAGTCTGGCAAACTCCCCGTGGAGTACCCAATATGCCAAATACCAATAATAATGAAGGGTCTCATTCTCCTACCTCTGAAAGAGCCTTGAATATGGGACTTCTTTTTAAATCTCAGGGCTAGGACGAAGGAGACGTTACTGGGGCCTGCTCGAGGCAATCGACGAATAAGAGGATGGTTGTGATTGTGATTGTGATTAGGGATTATTCCTGCCTGTGTATTCAGGATCTACACCTGGCCTTGCTCCAAGACTTTATGGGCTGCCTGTGATCAAACCCACATGTGTGTGCAGCGCTTCTGTCCTATGTGCTGTACTATCTCTCCCACCACTGGGGCTTTGATATCTCTTCTCTCAACTCATCTGACACTGCCGTATTTCAGTGCTTGGAGATACTTCTAATGGTTCTTGTGAGACTTCAGCAGGACTCAGGCTTTGCTCCTGGACTCTGCACTCATGGATCACTCCTGGCTGGCGTGAAGGACCCTAGGGGATGTCGGGTATTGCAACTGGATTGGCTGTGAGAAACTCCTGCTATGCTCTCTTTCTGGATACATTTTTAGCTTAAAAAATAAGGGTCTCTTGCCACCTTTGGCCATTTCCAGATTTATTAAGCACTTAGTTTTACTAAAATTCTTGATGAGTTCATTAGGGGCTCAGGAAACTCCATGTGGTGTTAGGCCTAGACAGACAGTATGGTTAGGAAAGTGATTTTCTTCCAAGCAATGCACCTGGGTTAAATCCCCGGCATCCCATGTCATCCCCAAGAACCAGCAGTGCTGATTTCAGAATACAGAGTCAGGAGTCGTCCTTGAGCATTGCCAGGTTAGACCCCAAACAAGACAAAAAACAACAACATACTGTGCTGATCAACACCCTGTCGGCCATACACAAGGCCTGGTCTATTGTATTTGTGGTATTTTCTTGGGTCTTACCTCTCGAATAACTAGAAATATGTGGCATTTTGGAAATGGACATTGTGTTCATGTCTTTATATCAGGAAACACGGGGATTTACCTGTCACCTTTTCCTTGTCACTTATCCATGCCTCTGTCTCTGTTGTGGCAGGGCACACTGGGATGAAGCCTGCGGTGATCTCCTGGCTGGAAGGAGGATCCCTGAGGTCGGGGAGGAGAGACTTGTGTTTAGGTGAGTGTCTGAGGACCCTTCCTGGTTCAGGCCCTGTGCAGTGTATGGGTGCCCTGAGCATGTATGAAACACGCTGCTGAGGCTGGGGCCTTGGGCTCCTGGATCCATGGGTCTGTGCCGCACTCACACTCCTCTTCATTCCCATCGTATGTCTGTCCAGAATGACTCTGGACACCCATTGCTTCCATGGCTTTCGAATAAGTAAGACCATAACAGAGCTAGTTTGTATCTGAACGATAGTACAGCAGGGAGTGTCTTGCAATGCATGAAAGTGACCTGTTCAATAACCTGGTTCCCCGAACATCAACAGGTCTGCTCAAAAACTAAAACAAAACCTAGTGTAGAATTGCAAAGATCCTTACCGTTTTCCACTAACCTAATCTTTTCTTTAGTGTAGGATTTTATGGACTTTGAATACCACAGAGATGTACTCCAACTACATGGCATCATTTTGCTACATTTTTGACCATTGCTTTAACTGCATGTTGTGTTCAGTTTCAGAGCTGAAACCACGGATTCAAGATTTGGCATTACAGCACTTTGATTTGGGAATGGGGTCTGCAAGTAAGAGTGAGTTGGTAAGATTTTTAATTCGGAATAAATTATTATGCCAGCGGGAGTGGACCAAATATGTGATTGTTAGGGTGGAGGGCTGTGAATGGCAGGGAGGAATTCCAAAGCCTGATCCTTGGGGTAGAGGACCCTTAGCTTTACTAGGTGCTGAAATCAACCATGTATAAAAATGCTGTGAGTTTTCATTTGCTTGACAGTTATAGTCATTTAAAAAGCTAATTTGTGGGCCCTGGAGATAGTGCAGTGAGAAATATACTTGCTTTGCACAGGGATGGATGAGCGTTACCCAGCACTCCTTATAGACACCGTAGACACACAGAACTGATCCTAGATACTGCATGGTGTGCCCCTCCGCCCACCCAATCCCCAATAAATAGAAACTACAAAACATTAAGAACAAAAAACTTTGTTGATCCTGAAAGCAATCACTTGTGGTGAGAGCTTTGCAATAGCCACGTGGTCTGTCTCAGCTGTGTGAGGATGCAGCGTTATCTTCACCCCTTCATCACAGATTCCACTCTGAGCTTTAATCAAACCCACTGTGGTTGTATTTCATTTTCTCTTGAAATGGATGCATCAGTTTTCTATAGAAAGAATTATTTCCAGTTGTATTCCTTCATTAAGTTAAAGGTGGGGGGAAGTCACAGAATTTTGTGAATCTGCTTCCATCAATTTTGTGCGTCGAACTTACATTTACACGAAGTTATTCTATAATAAGACAATCCTTACGTAGGTAATTACATTTGTGTGGTGCATATGTTAGAAACCTCACCTGGGGCTGGAGCAGTAGCACAGCAGGCAGGGCATTTGCCTTGCACGCGGCCAACCCGGGTTCGATTCCCTGCATCCCATATGGTCCCCTGAGCACTGCCAGGAGTAACTCCTTAGTGCAGAGCAAGGAGTAACCTCTGTGCATCACCAGGTGTGACCCCCCCAAAAAAGAAACCACATCTGAAGGCTCAGTTTTTTGACAGGAAGACTCGGTGAATAAGTTAATAATTGGAATCCTTCTCTGCTCTTCCTACAGGGAAGCAACCAACCCAAGTGGAATATCTCTGATTCTGCACTCTATGACAATATCTCTAGTGAGCAATCCTGCATTCAACCCCATGAGGATGCCAAGATGTGTGGGATGTCTTCTGAGGGTGATCAGAATGGCGAGAGCTACCTCACTCTGAAGAAGCCCTCCCTTGGAAAAAGTTCCTTGGAGTGTGGTGTTCTCAGTTCACAGTCACAAAATCCCCCAGTCTGGCAGCCACTAGGGAAAGAAGCACTGTTTATAGTGAGTCCCTTACAGAGACAAACTCTCAATCACAGTCACTGTGAACAGAACCCATCTAAGTGTAAGGAATGTGGCGGAGCCTCCCCATGTTCTCAGCACTGTGGTATTCCCTTAGAAAACTACAGTGGACAGCATCCCCGGAAAAGTGAGCACCGAGAACAAAGTGTGAGTCAAGGGTTACTCCATCATGACCATATGAATATAAATTCAGGAGTGAAACCATATGCGTGTGAAGCATGTGGGAAGGCCTTCAATCAATCATCACATCTTATTAGACATAGGAGAATTCATACAGGAGAGAAATCTCATAAATGTCAGACATGTGGGAAGGCCTTTATTCAGCCCTCAGATCTTAATAGACATATGAAAACGCATAGTGGAGAGAAGCCTTATATATGTCAGACATGTGGGAAGGCCTTTAATCAGCCCTCAGATCTTAATAGACATATGATTATTCATAGTGGAGAGAAAGCTCATAAATGTCAGACATGTGGGAAGGCCTTTATTCACACCTCGTCTCTTTATAGACATAAGAATACGCATAGTGGAAAGAAGACTTATATATGTCAGGAGTGTGGAAAGGCCTTTGCTGGAGCCTCAAAACTTACTGTACATCGGAGAATTCACAGTGGAGAGAAACCGTATATATGTAAGGAATGTGGGAAGGCCTTTGCTAAAGCCTCAAGACTTAGTGAACATAGGAGAATTCACACTGGAGAGAAACCGTATATATGTAAGGAATTTGGGAAGTCCTTTGCTACATCCTCAGAACTTACTGTACATAGGAAAATTCACACTGGAGAGAAACCATATTTATGTAAGGAATGTGGAAAGGCCTTTGCTGCAGCCTCAAAACTTAGTGTACATAGGAGAATTCACACTGGAGAGAAACCGTATATATGTAAGGAATGTGGGAAGGCCTTTGCTGCAGCCTCAAGACTTACTGTACATAGGAGAATTCACACTGGAGAGAAACCGTATATATGTAAGGAATGTGGGAAGGCCTTTGCTAAAGCCTCAAGACTTAGTGAACATTGGAGAAATCACACTGGAGAGAAACCGTATATATGTAAGGAATGTGGGAAGGCCTTTGCTAAAGCCTCAAAACTTACTGTACATAGGAGAATTCACACTGGAGAGAAACCGTATATATGTAAGGAATGTGGGAAGGCCTTTGCTGCAGCCTCAAGACTTACTGTACATAGTAGAATTCACACTGGAGAGAAACCATATATATGTAAGGAATGTGGGAAGGCCTTTTCTGAAGCCTCAATACTTACTGAACATAGGAGAATTCACACTGGAGAGAAACCGTATATATGTAAGGAATGTGGGAAGGCCTTTGCTAAAGCCTCAAGACTTACTGTACATAGGCGAATTCACACTGGAGAGAAACCGTATATATGTAAGGAATGTGGGAAGGCCTTTTCTGAAGCCTCAAGTCTTACTGTACATAGGAGAATTCACACTGGAGAGAAACCGTATATATGTAAGGAATGTGGGAAGGCCTATGCTAAAGCCTCAAGACTTACTGAACATAGGAGAATTCACACTGGAGAGAAACCATATATCTGCAAAGAATGTGGGAAGGCCTTCTGTAAATCTCAGTACCTTCGGAATCATAGCAGAATTCACAGTGGAGAGAAATCTCATCAGTGTCAGATATGTGGAATGGCATTCACGTTGTCCTCTTCCCTTACTATACACATGAGAATTCATACTTGAGAGAAGCCTTATATATGTGTGGAGTGTGGAAACACCTTTACTACATCCTCGCAATTGACTGTACATAGGAGAATTCACACTGGAGAGAAAATTTATATATAAGGAATGTGGGAAGGCCTTTGCTGTGACCTCAATAATTAATGTATATAGGAGAATTCACATTGGATAGAAACCATATATATGTAAGGAATGTGGAAAGGCCTTTGCTGGAGCCTCAGACTTATTGAACATAGGCACATTCACGCTGGAGAAACAGGCTTGAGCACCCTGCAGCTCCTAGTTTGGGAACTTGAGCGGCAGGACACGCCAGCTTGTAGGGCGTTTTTGTGCTTGTTTTTTCAAAACTTGTTCTGCATATCTAGGTATTAGGGAATGTGGAGCTTTTGAGGGTTGCATTGGGGGCTGTTCTGTGGCGGAGGTGTCATGGGTGAGGGTGCGTTATGCTGAGGGTCCCTGCAGCCAAGATCACATCCAGGTCGAAGATGGCACATGAACTTTGGGCCTTGGTGTGAGGGACCTGCAGAGAGTGGTGGTCTTGGCCATCTCATACCTCCCTACTCAGGACTGCGCAGGGCCCTTTTTGGAGCCTTTGGACTGGAGATAACACTTATCAAACCTCCAGATATGTTCACGGGAAGCCCCGAAAGGAAAGGGACACTTTTGTGGTCATTTTTATTGGCTCCTGTGCTGGGGTTGGGACTTTGGGGTGTGTCTGCACAAGTGAGAGGGTTTTGCCTCTGAAAATTTACTGTTTGTATGATTTATTTATTTTGTTTTCTGCTTTTTGAGTTACAGCCAGCGATGCACATGGAGTTACTCCTGGCTTATGCACTCAGGAATTACTCCTGGCTGTGCTCAGGCGAACGTATTGTTGCCAGGATTCGAACCCGGGTTTTTCACGTGCAAGGCAAACATCCTACCCGTTCTGCTATCACTGCTGCTTAATGGCTATGATCCCAAAAATTCAGAGAAAAATCTCAAAACCCAGCGGCTCTTGGCAGAAATGAGTCTGGACCCTGCAGTAGGTTACTAACCCCGGGCCACCCCAGAGGGAAGTGGTGCTGTCCCTCCACCTGCTCCCCCTTGGCGGCTCGCTGGCCACCATCCTCCAGAGGCCAGTGGAAAGTCACATTTGGGCCCGCAGTGATGAGATATGTGGAGTTTCACAGGATGGGGGGATGGGGGTGGAGGTGGCCCTTTCCTCCATGACCCAACAATAGCTTAGATCATGCCCACGAACCGCCTCTCTGGCTCCTGATAAAGCTGCTTAATCACCATGATCCAAGAGAGTCAGGAGAAAATCTGGAACTCAGCAGGTATTGGGAGAAATCCCTCCATATTATTAAATTTTCAAAATTACAAAATCATGTTCATAACCAGCAATAGAAAACAAATTGTCTACTGTTGCCTTTTTGAACTATCTGAGTGCTGGGGTTAAATCCCAAATATAATAATGGTGGGTCTGGTGTCAAAATATTGAATGTAATCAAAGTAGAGAGAAATGTAGAAATCATCTGCCCCCACAGTTAGGGGGAGGGTGTAGAATGGGGGTATACTTGGGGTTTTGGTGGCGGAAAATTGGCACAGTAAAGGGACTGGTGCTTCATTGTATGAACGAGACTTAAACCCAAAAGCTTTGTAACTTCACTCCGGGCGATTCAAAAAATAAAATTATCAAAAAAAAGGGGGAAAAGTACGGTGGAGTTCATGCCCATTTCAGTCAGCTTAATCAATAGCTGAATAAACAACAATACTTCTGCAAATAATTTTTTCTACTTCCATATGTCCAATTGCAAACAATCCCTTTCTCTTCATCTCTCCCTGACCAGAACATCAGGAAAACTGGCTCTTGGGGGTGGCTACATCAGTATACTTGTTGTTTTATCTTTTCCTGAAAGGGAGATATTTGAGTATGGGGAAGGGGAGTTTTGCTCAGGGGTCACTGCTAGTGTGCTGGGAAAAAAATTATTTAGAACTGGCCAGAGAAATAGTACAGCAAGCAGGGTACTTGCTTGCTGTGGCCAACCCAGGAGTCCTCCAGTCCACAACACCTTTGAGTTGCTCACTGGACATTGAGTGTCCCCTTCTCATCCCTAGAACAGTTGATGTGACGATATGGCATGGGGGAGGAGTGTCTAGAGTTTTGGTCCAACCCAGTGTTGCTTTCTTTTGGTCCTGCTGGGTCAGTGCTTAGGTGTTACTCACAGGAGCATTGTTCATTGGGTTTGTCTCTGGGGTGGCTGCGTGCAAGTCCATCAGCTTCTAATATAGTTCCATTGTGGTAGATCAGGATTCCATCCAGTGACTACTGGGGCCCGTCACCCTAAAGTGTTGGTGGAGGCCGGTTCCTCCCTTCTGGAGTGGGGAAAAGGGAGATCCCTGAGAACCCCTAGGGTGCTGCAGTGTCTCATCCTCAGGCCCATTGTGTGGATTGGGATAGCCTCCTCCTATCCTAGTGTGTGCTGGTTCGAAATGTGGTTACCTCTGTCAACATGGCAGTGAGTTTCACCCCAGAGGGATGAACATACCTGATTGCCTCTCAGAGGAATCTCTAAAGGGACATTATGCTGGAGTCAGAAGAGGATATGGAGGACCACTGACTGATGGTCAGAATGGCTTGTTTAATGTGAAGCTTTTAGCATAATACAGAGCATTGAAGGTTGTTGAGCTATAGGACTACACATAGGGGTGACTGATCGTTTACAGAGGTAAAGCATTTTTGTTTGTTTTTGCTTTTTGGGTCACGCCTGGCCATTAACAGGGGTAACTCCTTGCTCTGCACTAAGGAATTTACTCCTGGATGTGATCGAGGGACCATATGGGATGCTGGGAAAAGAACCCTCGTCATCTGCGTGCAAGGCAAATGCCCTTCCTGCTGTGCTATGGCTCCAGCCCCTACAGAGGTAAAGGGTTTTGATGGAGACAATTCTGGAGAATTCAAGGAGACACTGTCTCCCAGTGGCTATACAGAGAGATTCTCCCAGGGTCAATAGCATTATATTGCTTTCCTCTTTATCTACTAGAAAATATTAAACAATTAAATTTATTTCTTATTAATAATTGCAGATATGTGGATAAAAATAGTAAGAAATATAGATTCCAAAATTTAGTTCTCTGGACTCTGAGGGCAAGGTTGCTGGGCTTCTACCATAAATCCCATACTAGGTCTTCAGGCCGGTACAGCTTGTTCTTCATGAGGTCCTGTCTCTTAAGTCATAACACCTAATATCAAGACTGTTCTTTCATGCTTTCTAGACTATTCCATTTCGATTCCAGGGTAGTTTTGCTATTTTCCACAGATCCATCTCAGCCCTATGGGGGCCTTCCTTTTTGGAGTGTTAGGAAGTATGGCAACTGGAGCTTGAATCAAGTAAATATGACAGGTGCCAGGAGTAGATGTATTTCAGGATATGGGCCAAATATTAGGAGCCTAACATTAATAGTCTATCTGTGGTTAAGCAAAGAACATTGCTCTATAGTAGAGTATAAAAGGGCTAATCGGAATATAGAATAGGAAGTATTCACTTCAAATACAAATTTCAGATTCACCTAAGTCATCAAACCTCACTTGGGGAATTGTAAGCTCAAAGTAAAGGTAAAAGAGAAATTCAGGGAATTATAGATGTTCCAAAAGCACTGTGGGGAGGGAGCTTCCTTACGTAAAGCAAACCAGGTTCAATCACTGACCTTCCATGGAGCCAATACTACCAGAGATGATTCCTGAGCACGGATACAGGATTAACCCTTGAGCATCGCCAACTGTAACCCAAAACAAAACTGCATACAGTGCTGGTAGCTTAGTGATATTACCTGGGACTCCCTTATTTCACTCTTAAGTTTAAACCTTGTCTTATTCCTCACTCCCCACCAATCTTTGGCATATTGAAAGTGGACGTTATGATCATGCCTTTTCAATAGTGTGACCAGTTAGACCAGGGACACATGAGGTTTACTTGTCGCCTTTTCCTTCCTTGTGACTAATCCAGTCCTCTGTCTCTGTGGAGCAGGGCCTTCTGGGGCGAAGCCTGCGTTAATCTCTAGGCTGGTAGAGGAGCCCTAAAACTGGGGAGGTGAGGTGTGTACAGGTGAGTGTCTGAGGACCCTTCCTGGCTGGGTCCCTGGGCAGTGTGTGCATGCCCTGAGTGTGTGTGAAACATGCTGCTGTGTCCTCGGGCCACTGGATCAGGCATCTGTACTGCACTCACGCTGCCCTTCACTCCCCGGAGCTGTTCGTTACGGAGAGATCCTGTGCTTTGCTTTCTTGACTTTGTTGTCATTCTTCCTCGTCTGTCAGGTATGTCGAATAGTCATGAGTTTCAAGACCCTTGTCCCCCCCAGCTGAATAACCAGCCTGACTGTACACCTACAGGCCCGGGTACCCTTTCTGGACCCTTCTCTGTCAATATGACACCATGCTTATCTGCTTATCTTTGCCTTTGAATCATTGCCATGTTTTTTGAATATAGGAAGAAATTGAATTTTCTTTGGTTTTGGGGCCTGGGGATGATCAACAGTTATTCCTGGTGTTTCTCCTAAGTTGCTGTTGGCAATGCTCAAGGATCAACCCCTGTCAGCCTCATGCAAGGCAAATGCCTACCTGCTGTACTCTTGTACGCACCACAAAATATTTTATTGTGTGTATGTTAAATTGTGGCTGTGAGCCCATAGTGAAGCTTATTAGGACCAGAACAGCAGTGCATCACTGAGGGTGCTCGCCAACAGACGCCGCCTACCTTTGATGTCCAGCTTCCCCTATGGTATCTCGAGCATCACTGGGTCTGATCAAAAATAAAACCCAAAAGGCTTGTTCTGGAATTGCCTTGCTCCTGCAGCAACACTTCCCGCAGATTTTCTCTTTTTGTCGGCTTGTTTGGACTGTGAGAACCATGTCCTCCACCTGTTTAGCCTTTCAATTGCATTCCATTCAATGTTGGACTAATCCTCATTGTGCATTTTGTTTGATTTCAGAA